AAAAAAAAAAAAAAAAAGAGAGAGAGAGAGAAAGGAAACGAGAGCATTATCCATCACTTACTAAATCCCTCTCTCAATGGATCTTATGTTGCGGGATTACCTATTTGGCCCTGTGTGCATTTCTTTCTTTCTCATGTCTAATATTCATCTTGTTTAGTTATTCAGCACAAATAAAGTCTGAAAATTTGTCATTTAAAATATTATGGGTTTCAAACACAATCAGTAATCCTCCAAAAAGTAGAGAAATGTTTAAGTTCCTTTGGTGAAAGTAGAGGACCGCAGGGACCCAGAGCATCATTTTTTAAAAAGTATTTTCAAGCCGGGCTCGGTGGCTCAGCCTGTAATCCTGCGCCTTTGGGAGGCTGAGGTGAGTGGATGGCCTGAGCTCGCGGGTTCGAGACCCGCCTGGCAACTTGGCGAGACCTCATCTCTACAATAAATAAAAAATCAGCTGGGCATGGTAGCACACACCTGTAGTTCCAGCTACTCAGAAGGCTGAGGCGGAAGGATCGCCGGAGCCCAGTAGGTCAAGGCTGCGGTGGCTGGAAGCGGCCACTTCACTCCAGTCTGGGCGACACAGTGAGACTCTAACTCAAAAAAAAAAAAAAAAAAAAAAAAAGTATTTTCAGACAATTTATTCTCTGAGAGACTTAAGAAGAATAAAAACAAACCGGCCGGGTTCGGTGGCTCAGCCTGTAATCCCGGCACTTCAGGAAGTGAGTGGATTGCCTGAGCCCGCGGGTTCAAGACCCGCCTGGGCAACTTGGCGAGACCTCATCTCTACAAGAAATCAAAAAAATCAGCCGGGCATGGTAGCGCGCGCCTGTAGTTCCAGCCACTTGGAAGGCTGAGGCGGAAGGATCGCTGGAGCCCAGCAGGTCGAGGCTGCGGTGGCTGGGATCGGCCACTGCACTCCAGCCTAGGTGACAGAGTGAGACTCCGACTCAAAAAAAACCAAACAAACAAACCATCAGTCATGCCAGGCACACCCCTTTGCATCTGTTCCATTTTTATCATCCCAATCTCCCTTGCAAAGTTGAAGCTATGCATAAATATTTTCCTTCCAGACTGTGGGAAATCAGTGGCGAATGGTGCTGGTGCTTTGATAACGTTAGGTAGGGGATGGTGATCGCAGGGACCATGAGCACAAAAGTGGCTCAGTCCCGGGAACGCGACCCAGCCTGACGGTCGGCGGGGCTCAGTCTGTGCTCAGACATTCCAGGGGGCGGCAGAGGGATGGCCAGCACAGGACATCCCCAAGGTCCTTCCCACCCTTCAGAGCCCACAAGTCTGTCATTTAGAAGAGGGTTTGTGTGCAAGAACCCAGAGTGTCCCCAAGAACGCTGTTTACCCATAGCAGACCTGGCTCTCGAACACAGATGGCTCGTGGTCACATCCCCACAGATCTGACCTCACGGCGTGGACACTATTAAAAGAGCACCCTATTACTGAGAGTTTCCATTGCATCAAACCCTAGATATTAGCAACATTCCGCGGCAGGGAAAACGGTGCAAGGGGCCGGGACTATGCCGGCCTCAGGCGAGTCACGCAGAGAGGCATGTGGGATGAGGCAACCCCCTGACGCACAGGGCCCGGCGGGCTGCGAGGAAAGGCCTGGGCGGGGACCTTCCCAGGGGCTTGTGAGGACACGCTTGGCCCCCGGGGAGCCACAGATGGAAGTTCCATCGGACGCCGTTGCCTTGGTACTGAGGTGGCCGTTTTAGAAGAGAATAGGGAGGAGAAAGTGCGCCGAGACGAGAGGCAGGAGGCGATGAGGGATGGGGGGGTGAGGGATGAGGGGTGAGGGCGGGTGGTGAGGAAGGCTGCCTGAGCTCCATTTTCCTGTTTCCTGTTACAAACGGGAGCACAGGGTTTCCTTGTTTTTTTGCCCCCGAAGGCGTGAGATGCTCGTGGCAAACCTAAAGCCGCTCTGGACCGGCGGCTGTGAGTTGGGAAGGAGACATGAAGAAAGGATCCCGACAGCGGCTCTTTCTGGCCAGGAAATGCACTTGAAAAGCGCAGCCAAGGAAGGAGGTTCTAGTCAAAGGCACTGGGAAGGCCGGGCTCGGTGGCTCAGCCTGCAATCCCGGTGCTTTGGGAGGCCAAGGTGAGTGGAGGGCCTGAGCCCACGGGTTCGAGACCCGCCTGGGCAACTTGGCGAGACCTCATCTCTACAATAAATCAAAAAATTAGCCGGGCGTGGTAGCGCGTGCCTGTAGTTCCAGCTACTTGGAAGGCGGAAGCAGAAGGATCGCCGGAGCCCAGCGGGTAGAGGCTGCGGTGGCCGGGAGCGGCCACTGCCCTCCAGTCTGGGCGACAGAGTGAGACTCCAACTCAAAAAAAAGCACTGGGAAGACGTGCAGGGGCCTGGCAACTGGGTTAACTGAATAAAACTAAGCTCTTGGTTCTGATTATATTTGAACACGCTTTAAAAAGAATTGGTTTAATTTTAACTGACTTGAACATACATTACAAAAGTAGGACATGCTCTGTGAAAGAACGTCCGGCAGTACAGACAGACGCACAATAAAAAGGGAAACATCTCTCTTCTTTCCCCCACCAGGATAAATACCACTGTAATCTCTGTCTTTCAGCACTTTTGAAGCCATTCGTATATATAGATCACATATCATATAGATATTACATATATGTCTAGTAAATGTGTTTTCTTCATATTTTTTTTTAAAATAGCTATGATTTCTACCCTTTTTAAAATGGGTAATAGTGACTCGTATAAAGTGAAACGGAAAATCCTACATCTGATGCATTTGAAATGTTTTTCTTGGAATGCTATCCTTACCAATGTGCTTCCTAAGTTGCTTGTAAGTGATACACCTACTAGATAGAGTTCCACCTACTAGGATAAGATAGAACAGGTCAGAAGCCAAGAGACACGCTACAGGTGAAAAAATCGATGCCATGGGAGATTGTTTCGGGCAGTGCCAATGGTACGGAGGCATGTGTCTGCGTAGACAGCTGTCTCCATCACAGACGTGAACATGCTCAAGGCTGTTGTCCCACAATGGTCGGAAGAAAAGTGTTTTTCCTCATGGTGCCTTTTTTGTATTTTCAACACTGAACTTCCATTGCTTTTAAAGCAAGTTAAAAAGTAAACATTCATATAAACATTGCAACACACCTGATGAAAACAGTTCATGTCCCAAGGCCACAGAAAGAAACCCATCTGAGCGAGCTACCAGAGTGACAGAGGGGATGTCCCAGGGCCTTGTCTGACCGTCTCCATTTTAGGAATTAGACCTCAGTTGCTTCATTGTGAGACGGTCATCTTCAGCATCCCTGAAAGAGCGAATCAGGAAATGAGACAGAAATCAGGAGGTCATATTCCTTTATTACATATATGAAATATAAAAACAAATGAACAAAGCAATATATATATATTTTTGCGAGTCCACAGGACCTCAGGAAAAACATGTTCTGTATGTGAAGTTAATCATATGGCCGTGCGTTCGCGTTTCCTGTGTTTGAGTCTGGAGGGGCCAGAGGAGCAGTGGTTCCGCGCGCGTGCGGAGGAGGAACGACGAAGAGAGCCCGCCGTTCGGGGATGATCGCCTCCGTCGAGTTAAGAAACGGGCCAGTGTGATGACGGCGTTCTGTCAAGAAGGACAAGGAGAAAAACCGTCTCTCTCGACGTTCAGGCTGAAATACTAAGCACAAAAATAGAACCAATTCCGGGTCTACAATAATTTCTGAAGCGCACACAGGTGCGTTGCAAATACATGAGCTTTAGGAAATTTCAAAGTCCATTCCCCTTTATCCAGGCGTCTTTCTACCCTCGTGGTTTCTTTCTCTCATCTCAGTCTCTTCTCGTTCGTTTTCAGAAGGGTCGTCCTGGCTGGTGTCTCGGAGTCTAACCGCTAGCCCGAAAGGCAGACATTCTGCTTGCAGGCTGCAGCGCCGTGACTCCTCCAAGGTCAGGGGTGAACGGCACGGCTTCCTCGGCCTGGTCGCTCTCGTCCACGCGCCGCGGCAGGGCCTCTGTGCCGGGAGGTCTTCACACACGCCTTCCTCCTCTCCTCCGGCCCCCAGCGGTCCCGACCTTCCACGATGCAAGCGGCACGCAGTAAAGTGCTTCACACAAGGAAACCCCCTGTGCTCGTGCAGAGGAGGTTCCACCCAACGCCCCACGGACCCCCGCGCGCATGTGTGCAACACACAGAGAAGGCTCTTTTCAAGAAACACCTCTCCTGACAGTGGGGGCGAGGATCCAACCCTCTCAGACTTTCGGTCGCCTCGAAGGTCGGCCACGGGGCCTGGTTATCGGGGCTGCCCTTCATGAGTGACGGCTCAATACCACGCTGCAAGATATTCCGGAGAGAGAGGCATTTCAGAATCAGCGCCCAGACAACCAGAGTCGGTGTGGGGCTCCCATCCCTCTTTACGAAACCCAGCAGTATCTAAACAGGGGCCCAGAAGAGAGAAGTCTGGCGAGACCCAGGCCTCGGGACGTTTCTAGACATTTTGGCACTTAAAGAACATTCCCGCGGTGCGCGCCGGATCCCCCCGGCAGAGACTGCCTGCGGGCCACACACCCCTTCCTCGCTACTAGCACTCCCTTTTTAAGATGTCCAGGACTTTTCTTCCCAGAGACGGCTTCCAGAGCTGGACGAAACTTTTCATGTTCACGACCAGCTGGCCCGTTCCCACGTCCTCGTGTCCTGCGACAAGGTACTCCAGGCCTGGAAGAGAACACAGTGAGTGGCCCTGCGGTGCCACGCCTTGGAAGGGCAGGCGTGACCGGGCAGTTTCAGGCATTTGTGGCTGGAAGGCGAGTGGGAGGCAGGAGTGGCACCCGTGTGTGCATTTGCTGTGTGTCCCGTACTTTGCATGGACGACCTCCGGTTACCCTGACGATAGCCCTGAGAAGCAGGTGATTTTTTTGCTTCTTATTTTACAAACGAGGACACTGAGGCTCAGGAAGGATTAAAAACTCATTCAGGGCCAGGCGCGGTGGCTCACGCCTGCCATCCCAGCTCTCTGGGAGGCTGCGTTGCAGGGATTGCTTGAGCCCAGGAACTGGAGCCCAGCCTGGGCAGCACAGCAAGACCTTGTCTCTACAAAAAAAAAATTAGCTGGGCATGGTGGCTGTGCCTTTTGTCCCAGCTCCTCAGGAGGCTGAGGTGGAAGGATCACCTGAGCCCAGGAAGTCGAGGCTGGGGTGGCCATGAGCGTGCCACTGCACTGCAGCCTGGGCGACAGAGCGAGACCTTGACTCAAACAAAAATAAAAACTTGTTCCGTGTCTCCCCGTATGCAGTCGTACCCTGACTCAGGCTCAGATCTGCCTGGTTCTAGAACTTTTCTCTTCTGCTCTATCAGCCCTGGTACAGGAGTGAGGGTGCTCTGAGCACTTTCTGTACTCCACGCTCCAGGACTTTTGGGAGACACCCTGTGGATGGCAGTGTCTGTTAAGGAGGAGTCCATAAAAGTCAGACAACATCTGGGAATGCATACTGAAAGCGAGCTATAGAGTTTGCAGAATAACACATGCACCCTAGCTAAGGTGGGTGCGTTTTTGGAATACAGGACGCTTGTCATACACTAAAAAAACGAATAAATGGCGAGACGCCACCAGGTTGAGTGCCGACCTTGCCATTTGAAATTTTTTCAGGCTTCAATTTTAAAATGTGGCCGGCATACACAGGAGAGGGCCGGCTCTCACGATCGATGCATCAGGACAGAGAAATAGCACCGTCTCCCTCAGTACGGGTAATAACATCGACTTTGGAATTCAGAGACAGTTTTTAAAGATATTACAGGACAGAACAAGTAATTACACTTATAAAAACCTTTCTGATGTCAGATAAAGAGACATATACTTTAAAAATCAAACAGGTGATGACACTAGATGCTAAAATTCAGTTGAAAACATCAATTTAAGTTGATGGCTTCAGTGGCTGCATTCATGCTCATTCACTGAAATGACCGAGAAAGAATGCCATCCCAGTAGCAACCAACAGCTGGAACAAACACGCTGTGGTCTTCAATAGCACATCCCATTCAAAACAAAACAAAACAAGGCTTCTCGGAAAATGACTTATCCCAAGTCCAGGGCAGGAAGGGAAGCATGGGACAGCTAACTGTGCTAAAAAACAAGAAAGCTTTCAAGATTAATGCGGGTATTTTTCAAAGAACACAGCAGCTTGTAGGAAGGGCTTATAACTTGCCAAAGCTCTAACTTGAGCACCCGGAAACATAACAATTGTGTGAATGGAAACACACTAAATCAACGAAAATCCATCATTCCAAAATGACACTCAAAAAAAGAGAAAGCCAGAGAAAAATTAATTTGTCTTTTTTTTTTTTTTTTGAGTTGGAGCTTCACTGTCACCCAGACTGGATGCCTCGGCTCGCCACAGCCTCGACCTCCTGGGCTCAAGTGATCCTCTTGCCTCGGCCTCCTGAACAGCTGGGACTAAAGGCATGCATCAACATGTCTGGCCCATTTTTTGGATTTTTGGAGAGACAAGGTCTGGCTGTGCTGCCCAGGCTGGTCTCAAACTCCTGGGCTCAAGTGATCTTTCTGCCTCAGCCTTCCAAAACGCTGGGGTTACAGGGACCCGTCACCACGCCCAGCTATGTGTCATTTTTTTGAGTTAGCTGCTAAATCGTTTCTTACTTTGAAAACTGGAAAGCGGAGAGAAAGAAGTTAGCATTTGTTCTGCCTTGACAGTAAGACACGCAGTCCATGGCCACTGATTGCCTAGCGTGGGAGAGAAAGGCCTTGCAGAAGGAGGCCAGCTAATGAAAGAAGAGACGTAGACAGAACCCGGAAAAGCCATTTCTCAAAACTCTAGTGAAAGGGATTCAGGGAGGGGTGAGCCCTTGGTGAGAAGGTCACTGAATGAATGCTTAACAGAAAGCTGGATGTCCGGATAATGCTACAGAGCACCCGACTCGTTATTTTCCAGGCTCAGAAGGAAGGTTCAAACTGCCAGTGGACGGGCGAGACGGTCCTCATGGCCGTCCGCAGGTCGAACTTAGAGGCACTGACGGGCAGGTACCCGGGTACCAGGTGTGCTCCGATCGAGTTCAAAGTGAAGAGCACAGCCATATCCAGGGTGCGTTGCAGCCAGAACGTTTGTCTGGAGTCCACTGAGCGCTTCTCTGGGGATTATGGGAGACAGATCAAGGAGCACGCTAAACAACACCGGAGCCAGTAAGACCGTGCGGAAGGCCGGGTGATCCGCCAGACACTTGACCTGCTTTCTTCCAGCCAGAGAAACAGACTCTGCCGGAATGGAGAGACAAGGGTCCGAGGAACCAGAAGCCCTGTACGATCCTGGGCTGAATACTGGCAAGGACACAGCAGCCCCAGAGGATGCTGTGGAGTCACAGGAACAAGACCAGAGCACCAAATAACACGGACTAAGCAGGAAGGGAAGGGGACACTTACTAACTGGACGAAGCAGGTTACAGGGTGGAGCATTCACAATGGCTTTATTTTGGCTTAAAAACCACAATATATTCACACATAGAGAAAGATCTGGAAGGATTTGCACCGAGCTACTAACGGAGATGATCTCTGGGGGGCAGAAGCGTGGAATTTAAAGCTTCCTCCTAGGTTTCTCCAGTGTACATGTATTGCTTCAACAATAATGAAACGACTGACAGATTATTCAAAGAAACCAACCCTAAACTTAAAAATAGCTATCTTGGTGTTTTCAAAGAAAGGGAAAAAGGAAACTAATGCCACAGAGAGGTTTCAGACATGGGAGAGCAAATGTAAAATGGATAATTAAGCATTTTAAATTTAGATTCTTAACCAGGCTCAGTGGCTCAGCCTGTAATCCTGCACCTTGGGAGGCTGAGGTAGTGGATTGCCTAAGCCGCCTGGGCAACTTGGTGAGACCTCATCTCTACAATGAATCAAAAAACTAGCCGGGCGTGGTAGCGCGCGCCTGTAGTTCCAGCTACTTGGAAGGCTGAGGCGGAAGGATGGCTGGAGCCCAGCAGGTCGAGGCTGCAGTGGCTGGGAGTGGCCACTGCACTCCAGTCTGGGTGACAGAGTGAGACTCCAACTCAAACAAACAAACAAACCAACAAAAAAACCACAATAAATAATTTTTAAGAAACTTCAGGATTAAGTCTAGTTTTTTAGTTGAATTTACTTTGAAACTACAGACAGAACAAATGCCTCAGGAACTTACCTCTGGTTTAAAAGAAACTAAATGAATGAAAAATGGAACTGAATAAAAACATAAGGTCTAGCGCATCAGACTGAAAAATCAACATGCAAGAGATGCTATTTATCCGCCTCTTAATAGCATTTACCTTTTATTTCCTGTCCTCTTTGCTACATGCTTAAGGGCACAACATCTATGACGTATACACAGAGAAAGGAAATGCAATACGTTGGCGCCAGCCTTGGTGGCTGATGAATGCGTGAATGCACGCATGTGCAAAGGATGGGAGAATCTGCGGGAATATCCAGCGAGGCTGCTCTTTTCCACGGGGGCCGAGTAGGCCAGCTGGTGTGTAAGGTTTCAGAGTTTTCTTATCAGCTCTCTTTGGCTTTAGCTACTGAACTTGTAAAGATGGAAAAGCAAAGCAAAATGCAAGAGTATCTGGTTTTGCTTTGGCAGGTTCCAGTCTTTTCTTCAAAGCAAGTAAACATGTTTTCGAGAATTCTTTGAATAATTGCACTTATGTTTTCAACTGTGATGAACTCAGTTGATTCTCTCACTGCTTGGCAGAAACCTGATTTGGAAGCATAGTTCACTTCCTGAAGGGTGGCTCAGATGGTCAAAGCTTTTGTTTTTAATATCTTACTAAAAAACAGGGCAGACTTTTTTTTTTCTTTTGCCAAGATAGTAGAAAAGTGCTTAGAAGAAGAGCCTCTAAGCACGACTCATTGGGAAATTGAACTTGAATGGATGCTTTTTTAGTGTCCTGTATTCAAAATCCAAGATTCTGGCCGGGCGCAGTGGCTCAAGCCTGTCATCCCAGCACTTTGGGAGACCGAGGAGAGAGGATTGCTTGAGCCCAGGGGTTCGAGACTAGCCTGGGCAACTTGGTGAGACCTCGTCTCTACAATAAATTAAAAAAAAAATTAGTCGGGTATGGTGGCGCAGCGCCTGTAGTTCCAGCTACTTGAAGGATTGCCTGAGCCCAGCAGGTGGAGGCTGTGGTGGCGTGAGCGTGCCCCTGCACTCTAGCCTGGGTGAGAGAGTGAGACTCTAACTCAAAAAAAAAAAAAAAAAAAAAAAATCCAAGATTCTTATGACTTAATTTGTTCGTTGGGACTAAATAGAATTTTTTTATAATTCAAAATGTCTTTTATCCTTTCCTTATTAAAATTTAAATGAATTTAAATAAATTTTTGAAGGGGTAGAGGAGGGGGATGAGAAATTGGTCAACAGTCTGGCGAAATCAAAAGTTCTGTATCTCTATTTAGATTGTTAGATTGGGGGGTATTTTATTGTTCTCTCTCTCTCTCTCTCTCTCTCAGTTATCTGTTTCTCTCGCACTTATTAACTAAAGACCACAAAAGGCTTCTGATTAGCCGGGCTCAGTGGCTCAGCCTGCAATCCCGCGCCTTGGGAGGCTGAGGTGAGCGAATTGCCTGAGCCTGTGGGTTCGAGACCCGCCTGGGCAACTTGGTGAGACTTCATCTCTATAATAAATCAAAATTAGCCAGGCGTGGTAGCACGCGCCTGTAGTTTCAGTTGCTTGGAAGGCTGAGGTGGAAGGATCGCCGGAGCCCAGCAGGTCGAGGCTGCGGGGGCCGGGAGCGGCCACTGCACTCCAGTCTGGGTGACAGAGTGAGACTCCAACTCCAAAAAAAAAAGGCTTCTGATGACCATAACTGTGGTGTTCTGGACTTGCCCCGGGAAGGAATTAGATCAAGAACATAGATAATGCACCTGTCTCATCAGTGCCACCAAGACCCAGACGACAACGGCAGACACAGGGACGTGCAGAGGCTTTTTGGAAGTATCTGTGTTTTACTGGAACCTATTACCTGAATATCATGTTCCTGTTATCTGGGTCCTGGGAGTCGGTGTTGAAGATATGATGCTCAAACCCTAAATTCCAGCCTCCACTTTAAGGAGGAGCCAGAGAGATAAGCTTCCTGATGCAGGGAGGGGGCAGGAACCCCCATGCCCACCCGCTGCCTCCCCTTCCTCACAGCTGAAGGGGCACCCCCCACGTCAAGCTTCTCTAAGATTCTACAGTTCTCATTTTGTTTGTTCCTCCTGTTTCTAATCTGACACCAGAAATGACCATTCAATGAAAAACAAGATGATGAGAACTGTTTTCCATCCGGGAGAAACAGATGCTTCTCATGCAACAGTAAAAATGAATTCCGTGTCATTTGCACAGATGGAATTTGGCATCGGAACTTCCTGTGGGGACAGGTTCCCCCCGAACAGGACCTGGCTTTCAGATAACGGGCAAGAGACAGATAAGTCCACGAAAGCGCTTTCTGTGCAGCTGACGCCTGGAACCAATCTGAGGCGTCCCTTTTAGGACAGAGAGGATTGTCTTGCGGGATTTCAAAATATTAGACTTTTACAGAGCACTGGGGAGAGAAAGACTTTTTTTTGAAGTCAGTTCCAAGAATCCCATTTGGATTTTCCCCAGAATCCCAACGGCGCAGGCGGGAAGCTGGGTCACTCAGGGTGTGGTACCGAGACTGCAAGCAAGCAGGGACGGGGTCGGGATGTGTGACCACACTCACCAGGGTTGAGGATCGGGCAAGTGCAGCCCCTGTTGGTCCACGATTCTGGGTACAGCGTGCGCTTTCCTCGCGAGATCTTCAACTTGGTGGACTTCAAGACTTTCTTGATCTTCACGTTGACCTCGGCGTGAGACCCCTTATCATGAGCTGATAGAATCTTGATTTTCAGCACTGTAACCACACAACAGACAACATGCAGAGGAGGCCGTGTTACCTTTTGAACTCTGACCACAACTTAAGCGTGCACTTCAGAATGCGAGGGAAAGGGGGATGGACAAGGGGTGTGTGGAGACGTGCTTTAAACATAACCTGGCTCACCAGGCACGGTGGCTCACACCTGCCATCCCGGCACTTTGGGAGGCAGAGGTGAGAGGACTGCCTGAGCCCAGGGGTTCGAGACCAGCCTGGGCAACTCGGAGAGATCTTGTCTCTAGAATAAATCAAAAAATTAGCTGAGTATGGTAGCACATGCCTGTGGTTCCAGCTGCTTGGAGGGCTGAGGCAGAAGGATCTCCTGAACCCAGCAGGTGGAGGCTGTGGTGGCCGTGAGCGTGCCACTGCGCTCCAGCATAGGCGACAGAGGGAGACTCTGACTCAAACACAAAAGCAAAAACCAGGCTCATTCATTTCTGCACTGGCTCCACCTCATGTGTCTACACTAGCGGTACTCTCCCTTCTCAGACAATTTCAGTGCTCCCCCCCACCCGTCACTCTGCGGAGGACACCAGTCATCTGTCTCTTGTGAACACTCTTCGATGCGTGGAGAGGAGGCCTGTGGAGTGAGGTCGGCCCACGTCTCTCTGCCTTCTGATTCTTCTACACGGCTATGGCTGGAGGTGTCATGTCAGGACAGACAGCAGGACGCTCCTGCCAGAACACACTTCATGCTTTCCAGAGAGAGTCGATCATCCTGACTCCTTAATACTCCTTCCCTGGCGCAAGATGCCAGCTGGCGGGTGAGGACGCCGCCCCTCTGCGGGAGGCCCCCTCCAGGCTTCTCCAGGACCTGAGATGCTGGCTTGCTCTTGCTCCCAGGAGCGGGCCGGGGCGGGGGGCTCAGTGGTGGGGTGGGCGAGAGGGCCAGTCTGAAGAGCACTGGGAGGCAGGGGACTCGGCTTTATCTTGTGATTTGGAGTCGAGGGTCTCGCTCTGCTGCCCAGGCTGGAGTGCAGCCAGTGCTCACGGTCACCACAGGCTGGACCTTCTGAGCTGAGGCGATTCTCCCACTTCAGTCTCCCAAAAGGCGGGGGCTACAGGTGTGCACCATCACGCCCAGCTAAGTTTTCCTTTTTTCAGTAGAGGCGGCCTCCCCGTGTTGCCTAGGCTGGTCTTGCGCTCCTGGGCTTAAGCAGTCCTCCTGCCTCAGCCTCCAAGTGCTGGGGTTGCCGGTGTGAGAGAAGCCCGTCCTGGGGGTCTCGGACGCGGAGAACAGGGTGGCCGGACGGCTGTGGCTGAGAGTCCCCGCAGTGGGCTTCCAAGGAGTCCTCAGAGCTCGGCATGCCCGCTTCACGCACGGGGAAGCAGGCGGTGAGGTCCACGCGCCTCTCAGGTTTGCGTGCCCGCTAGCTGGCAGAGAGTGGACTGGGCCTGGGAGGCCAAGGTGCGCGTGAAGGGGCACAGAGCCAGGCGAGCGGCCGTGCTCAGGCCACTTTCACGCTGGGACCCCCCAGCCCGGAGGCTCAGAGTGCGGGACCTCGCCCGCTCACGGCTCTCGCTCAGGAGATCTTTGCTGGAGAAGCCAACAAGCAGGTCGAGAGTCTTGTTCCATTAAGCCAGAGAGCAGGAGGAGGACCCCAAGTCTGTAGGGGCATGGCACCTCACGAGGCCAGTCACATCCTTATGCCATCAACCGGGTCCTCTTAAGTAGGCAACAACTACGGGGCACTGGAAGTTCGGCTGGGTAGAGGGCCACGGAGCCCACGTGCGGATGAGAACCAGCTGATGTTGTCACTGACTGAACCGGCCCTGGGCTAAGCGGCCACGTCCTCTGCCTTCCCGGCACTCGCCGCTTCCTCCAAGCTGCCCCTCCGCTAGGGCCTCTGGACGCTTCAGAGCCGTCTTGTGTCACTGCACCCGGCTGGGAGGTCAAGAGAAGCGAGCGTGCATGTCAACTCGGACGCGATGGGTGAGGTTTTTGCCTCTTACTTTCAGTAATCCTTTATGAGATTAAATGCAGTGTTGTCAAGGTTCCATAAATCACGACCTCAGATGTTCCTTCATTGTAATGTGGGTTTCGGGAATTTAAACTCTAGGGCGACTAAAGCCCTGATACCTGCCGAGAACACGGCCTCTCCACGCATGTGACAGTAAGCGTGGCCACTTCGTGTGTGACTGGGACAGCTGTCTCCTCTCGGGCCCCTTTCCTCTCCCACAGGACGTGTCTTCCTCCAGCTCGAGGCAGAGACGTCGAGACCCGGGCACAGTGGTTTCTGCACCTCCCAGGGGCACCCTTCCTTCTCTCGGCCATGCCCAGAGCGTCTGGCCTGGGTAGGGGACCTGCTACTTGCTGGTCAAATCTCACTTCATGGGGCTGCGGCGCCATCCCTTCTCACAGGCGAGGAGGCAGGTTTGAAGACGTCACGACGCCCACCCTGCAGGCCAGAAACCAGACGGTGTGGGCCCGAACCCGACGTCTGTGCTCTCACAATGAGCAGTGCTGCCCGAAGCTGATGTCTGCTTCGCCTAACTGCAGGACACACCAGCACCATCCTTGTCTACGTGGCCAGGGACTCCCCTTTCAGGTGGCCAAGGCAAGGGGCACCGTGAAAAGGGATCCCGTGGCATGACCTCTTCTTCCTGCTCTGGGCTTCGTCTCCTTTTCTGCTTGTAGAGGCAGAGCCTTGCTCCATCACCAAGGCTGGAGTGCAGTGCTGCAATCAGAGCTCACTGCGGCCATAACTCCTGGACGCAGGTGACCCTCCCACCTCAGCCTCTCAAGTAGCTCGGATGCTAGGCTATGCCAAGTTCATTCATATAACTTTATTTTTCTTAAAGACAGGGTCTCGCACCTGTCTCACTGTGTGGCCCAGGCTGGTCTGGAACTCCTGGTCTCAGGGGATCCTCATGTCTCAGTCTCCCAAAGTGCTGGGACTTCGACCTTGACCCTCTTTTCCTGATACAATGTCACCTCTGCTCTACAAGCATCTTGTCCTTCCCAGGGGACGTCGAACACGTCCACATGAGGACCATCTAGCTCAAGCCCAGAAGGCCGTGTGTCGTGCGACTGTGCCAAGGGAACGCTTTGACTCACTGAGGGCGTCGTCAGCCAGGCCTTCCGCTTCCTTGGAAACCCTGCCCACAGTTTGAGTAGGTTCCCAGAAGCAGTCAAGGCCCTCAGACTCACCGTATGAGTATTTCATTCCGCAGAACGCCTTGGCACTTCCTAACACCTGCTCCTTACATTCACATTTACCTGCAGAGAGTGGACAGAAATGGGGTCAGTCATCAGAACGAGCAAAGAACACCAGGAGGGCAGCCAGGAAGTCTGAGCGACACCCACTCCTGGTCCTGAGTGACGGGTGCCACGTGATCCAAGAGACAGGAGGCCGTGCAAGTCCTTCCAAAGAACAGGCCCTCCTTTGGAACTGAGTCCGTCATGCCCCCGTCAAGTACCAACCCGAGAGAAACACAGAGGGCGGAAGGAAGCTGTGGCATCCTTCAGTGCTTGTGACTGGTGCTCTGCGAGACGCAGTCCAGCACTCACATCCCCTCCGTCCCGCGTGAGGGGGAGGAACGCCCGAACCGAAAGCCCACGGAGAAGCTCACTGTCTTACAACCAAAGCTCGCCATGACCAAGTCAAGTAAACGGAAGCGACCGCACGGCCCGCGGAGGGCGATGCCATCCGACCTGAGAAGCATTTGCTGATTTATTGATTGTTATTTTGCCTTTATTTCAACGGCCTGGGGCGGGCGTACACGCGGTCTTTGGCGCAGGCTGCGAGAGTCCTCACCACCCGACCTGTGCGCATGGCACCGAAAGTGTATGCTCTGTCCTCCCGTCCCTCTCCCTCCCCGGGAGCACTTACTGAGCACCTACGGTGTACAAGGGTGATGCCTGCACCTCGGCACCACAGACACAGCTCTGACCCCGAGGCCCACGGCTCAGGAAGTGGGAGAAAGCAGGGGGGCCCCGCGGTGAGACAGGGTCGGGGCGTCCCCCAGGGAGGTCACCCGCTGGGAAGACAGCGGAGGGCTTCGTGGTCGAAGGATTTGGAATGACTCTGACAAACAAGTAGGGCTTTCCTCCGGACAGTCCCAACCAGCTGCTGTAATTGTATGTGTGAGGGATTTGAGAGGCCTGAGGAGACTTCCAGAATGTCTCTGGACACTGTTTATATGCAATGTTTCACACTCCTTGTTCACACACACACGCGCGCACGCGTATATATTTTAGAGACAAGGTCTTGTTCTTCTGTCGCCTAGGCTGAGTGCAGCAGCATGACCATAGCTCACAGCTACCTCCAGCTCCTGGGCCCAAGGAATCCTCCTCCCTCAGTCTCCCAACTAACTGGGACGACAGGTGTGCACCACTACACCTGGCTAATTTTTTAAAAAAATTTTAATTTTTTCGAGACAAGGTCTCACTGTGTTGCCCAAGCTGGTCCCAAACTCCTGGCCTCAAGGGGTCCTTCCACCTCAGCCTCCCAAAGTGCTGGGATGACAGGTGTGAGTCACCGTGCCTGGTCCCCCTCATCCCCATTTGTTACCTGCCTCCTCTCTAGCCTCTGCCCCTCGAGAACAGAGGTCACGCCTTCGCTCCTGGGGTCAAGAACGGGCAGGCTGATTCCACACTTGGACGGGGTTCTCCTCTCCTTCCCCCGTCCCGCTCTCGTGCTCTGTGTCTCATGGGCACTGAGTGGTTCATGAGCGCTGCCAACATGCACTGAGGAGCACCACTGTGTGCTGGACACTCTTTAGAGCCTTTGGCCTTTATTTCCTCCTTTTAGGTCGTAGCAGGTAGAAATGCGATCGGATCGTAGAGATGACAGTCAAGATCGTGAGGAAGAAAGAGCCGAGCGGTTTCGAGGAGGGCCGGTGGTGGGTTTCTGCAGGAAGCAGACTGAGCCACGGCCAAGAGACAACGTGGCGGGAACCTTGCCCGGGACGCAGTCAGGCCCTGGGTTTGGCTATTAAAGGGGGTTTCCACTGCTGTCAGCCTGGAGGAGTTACGTGAATCACACACGCGCAGACGAACATTCACCTGGCATCGGTGCAGCCAAGGTTTGGGAACAGGGACCGAGGCGGGCAGGGAGCCCTGAGAAGACGGCAAAGTCAGTTCTGACAAAAGCAGGAACTCACCCGAGGGCTAGCTATCAGCCATGAGCCCTAAGGAGCTCAACCCTGTGACCTTGTTTAATATTTAGAATAATCTTATGGGCAAGCTTTACCAGCAGCTAGAAAAATAAAGGCACAGAGAAGTTCATGCTTGGGTAAGGCAGCACAGCCTCGGTCAGGGAGGGTCGGGAGGCCCGGACACTCCCATTCCACTGTCCCTCCACGCGAGATGTCATGCGGTCTGAGCTAGAGAGGGGGCCGTGGGCCCAGACGGACGGAGCCTCAAGAGACGCTGCAGGGTTTACGTCTTCAGATTGTCGTCAATAGCTCGAACGACCCAGGGAGGAGGAAGCATGGAAGTGAACTTCGTGGAAAAGAAGATTTCAGGCCGGGTGCAGTGGCTCACGTCTGTCATCCCAGCAATTTAGGAGGCAGAGGAGAGAGGATTGCCTGAGCCCAGGGGTTTGAGACCAACCCGGGCAGCTGGGCGAGACCTCGTCTCTACAATAAATCGAAAAATTAGCTGACCGTGGTGGTGCATGCCTGTGGTTCCAGCTGCTTGGAAGGCTGAGGTGGAAGGATCGCCTGGGCCCAGCATGTTGAGGCTGTGGTGACCGTGAGCAGGCCGCTCACTCCAGCCTGGGCGACAGCAGGAGACTCCTGACTCAAAAAAATAAGTAGAGAGAAAGAAAATGCAGTTTTCAGCCAAGGTGTCAGAGAAGAGTATGGCTCGCTGACGGGAGCAGGGAAGGCAGGAGGGGGAGCATTCGGGGTGTCCGTCCCAGGCCCTGCGGTGGCGATGCACCTTCCAGCGCAAGTACCGAGCGTCCCCGGGGCGGTGCGCAGGAGGGAACAAAAGCCGAAGCATCGGAAATCAGAGAACGGACCCGGCGCGTGGAGGCCCGGCAGCAGGACGGCCGGACGGCTCCGGCTCGGCATCACCACTGCAGCCCGGAGTCATTGTAAGACGGTGCGCTCTCAGCGCGAGAGGCACTCCCATCCCAGACGGAGCCCCTCTGCTTGGCCTCACCAGCCCGCAGGCGGGGAGGGAGAAGGGGGCGGTGGCTCCCGGGGGAAAGCCACCCTGAGCTACCAGGGGAACAGCAGGAAGGACGGGTCGTGTGTGAAGGGCGACAAGGAGGAGGAGAGGCCGCCGGACACGGGGGCGGGCAGGAGTGTGGCTCCGGAGAGGGCAGTCGGTGGAGACGGCGGTGTGGACACACGGACGTGTCGGCTTGGCTGGAGCCGCTGTGGATCAGAGCACGAGCCTCACAGATGAAAAGCCACCGAGGCACCCCCGAACTGTGGGAAGGGGAACACGAAGGGGCGAGCGTGTGGCCGATCGCCTTGGTTGTGGCCTAAGTGTGACGGGACTGTTTGTCCAGACGCTGCGGTCGCCCGGTGAGGAGCCCCAGCCTGGAACAGCTCTGCCAGCATGGAGGCGTGCGGCCACTCCCAGGCTGGAAACCGGGGGCGCTCCAGGTGGCCCCTGCGCTCCCCAACACAGGGCTCTCCCCGCCTTCCAGCCTACGGGAGCCACGCGGGGCTGTCCGCGGAAGGCGGCTCTGCGGTGGCTTTCCCGCGCGCCGTGCTCAGAGGCTTGGCGCTCACACACTGAAACCTGTGGGTCGAGCTTCAGCCTGGGGGCTGCTCGTGAAAGGAACCCGGAAGCGCAGAAAAGTGTGCACAGTTAGACTGCGTTGCTAAGATCCTTCTAGAAAGTGAGCATGGCTCACAGTTCGGTGGTGCCGGTTAGAGCCAGCTTTGTTATCCGGGACATACGATTTTACATCTGGTGTCTTCACAAGAGGTGGCAGAAATGAAGAGCGTTTGGCTGGTGTCGTTCACGGCAGTTACAAGCTTTGCTTTGTTTTGTTTTGAAACTTATGGTGGGTAAATAAGGAGGCGGCCCCCAGATTTGAGGACGAACTCCTTGTTTCAGGACTCAGGAAACTGTTGTTGGAAAGAGATACCCAGGAGCATCGTTCAAACCCGATGCAGGAAACCGGACAGACTCCCTCAGCCTGGAGCTCGTCCAGATGAGTTTCAGAGACTCTGGGGACATTCAGACCCAACAGGCCGGGTGGCCATGAGTGCCAGGAGCCGTGCTGGTGCCAGCGGGTCTGCTGCCAGCCCCTCTGCAACAGGCATGCTGGCCCGATGGTGGCAGGGCCTGGACCCTGATTGCTGCAGGTCTGGGTGAGCAAAGTCTGTTAGAAAAACAGAGAAACACTCTTACGTGTGGCCGTTCAAGTTAAAACCTCAAATTCAGACGAGGTAGCGCTGAGGCAAAAATGAAAGGAAAAGACTTTTTCAAAAGCTGAAAAGGTCAACATGACGATGTTATGTGACTTTATCTCTCACACCTTCTTTCCTGTTTTGACTGAAAATGAAACCGCCGGGAAAATCCTTGTAAGACGAGGTTCTGCGGAAGAACAGAGCTTCTCCAGCCTGGGCTCCTGACTATCAAGGGTCTGCAGGCTTTCTGGGGGAATGCTGGGGCGACAGAGTAAAGCCCTGGCTTAAAGAACAAAGCAAAGCAAAAACCTAATAAGCTGTGGGGGAACAGGGTCATCGGCACTGGCCATCAACCCAGCTTTGCAAATTCTGCTTTAACACACCCTCGGCTCTCAACACAGCAACGTTAGACAGAGGAGAAAACTGACACAGTCTGTGTCAAAAATAGATACATGTCTCCGTGGAGGAGAAACGAACGAGCCTGCGTTCGGGGCATGGGGCTGAAGTCGCAGTCTGACGGTTCGGGCTCAGGATCAGGCGGCAGCGGCCGGGAATCAACTCCCAAAGGGCGGTGGGACTGACAGCGACCACAGTCAGACTCGCTCTCTATAGCCGGGGATTGGAGAAGGCCCTCCTTGCTGATGAAGGGAGGCTAAATACACCTCAACAACCAAAGCCCCTAATGACTGTGGGTCACGATCCAGGCTTGTGGGTGTTAGGTGACTCCATTTCAATAGCATTTATTGCAGAGAGGAGGAAAGGCAGGCCTTGCTTGAATTTGCTCCATGACTGTTAATGATCTACAGGAGTACAACTTATTTTTTGTATTTTGATCCTGTATCCAGCAACACTGCTGGACTTGCTTACTCATTTTAGTATTTGTAGGTCATCTTGGATTTTTTCTCATTGGTAATTAAGGACAGTTTTGTCTCTGTTTTTTAGTTCTCATACCGCATTCTTTTTCCTTGCCTTATCACTTTAGTACAATGTTTTCTCACATTTGATGGAAATATTTTGATATTTGATATTGATTTTTTTCCCCCACACCCAGCTAATTTAAACATTTTTTTGTAGAGATGAGGTCTCACTATATTGCCTAGGCTGGTCTCAAACTCCTGAGCTCAAGCAATCCTCCTGCCTTGGCCTCCCAAAGTGCTGGGACTATAGGTGTGAGCCACCATGCCCAGCCTGATGCTGATTTTTGATTTCCAAAATTATTACTAATGAGTTTTGTGTTTAGCTAAATGTTTTTTCTGCATATTTTGAAAAAAATCATATGGTTTTTCTCCTGTAATCTGTTGGGGGCATTTTTGAGCCTGGGTCTCACTCTGACATCCAGGCTAGAGTGCAATGGCACAATCATGCCTCACTGTAGCCTTGACCTTCTAGGCTCAGGCAGTCCTTCCTCTTCAGCCTCCTAAGCAGCTGGGACTACAGGCATGCGCCACTACACCCAGCTAGGTTTTCGATTTTTATAGAGACGAGGTCTTGCTATGTTGCCCAGTTTGGTCACAAATTGCTGAGCTCAAGCAATCCTCTCACCTCGGCCTCCTAAAGTGCTGGGATGACAGGTGTGAGCCTCCACACCCGGCCTCCTGGAACCTATTGATGTGGTGTTTGGTTTTTCTGGTACCAAGCAGATTTTTTAGTCCTAAGATAAGTTTTTTAAAACATTTTTAAAAAGATGTAGGGTACAATTCAGGGTTAGGTATACAAATGTGCATTATGCAGGTACCCTTGTTGATGAGGTGTGTGCCCCCGTTCCCTGGCAGTTTCCCACTACCGCCAATCCACCCTTGCCCTCCCCTGGTAGTTCCCCACGACTGCCAATCCTTTTCTTATAGTATTATAATTGTTCAAGGTCTGCTTATGAGAGAGAACATGTGGAACTCAGTTCTTTGTTTCGGTGAAAGATCACTCAGTATTATAGACTCTAAGTCCATCCAGGTTGCCGTGAAGTTCATGATTTTGTTCTTCTGTATGGCTGCGTGATATTCCATCATGTATATGTACCACATTTTCTATATCCAGTCCTCTTTTGATGGGCAGCACGGTTGGTTCCATATTCCTGTTACTGTGAACAATGCTGCAATATACATATGTGCGCATGTATCTTTTTTATAGAGTGGTTTGAGTTCTTCCGGGTATATTCCCAGTAATGGGATTGTGGGGTCATATGGAAGGTCGATTTTTAGATCTTTTAGGAATAGCCACACAGTTTTCCACAGAGGCCGTACTAGTTTACACTCCCACCAACAGTGTAGAAGTGGTCCCTTTTTGCCGCAGCCTCTCCGGCATCTGTTGTTTTATGAGTTATTGGTGACGGCCATCCTGACTGAAGTTAGGTGGTATCTCAGTGTGGTTTAAATTGGCATTTCTTTGGTGACTAGTGAGACTGAGCATTTTTCGTGTATCTGTTGGCTGCTTATCTGTTTTCTTTTGAGAAGTGTCTATTCATATCTTCTGCCCACTGTTTTTTTCTTTTCAGCAAGCTTGAGTTCCTTATAGGTCCTAGATGTTAGGCCTTTGTCAGATATACAGTTGGCAAATATTTTTCCCCACTCTGTGGGCAGTCTCCCGCTCTCTCAATGGTTCCTTTGGCTTTGAAAAAGCTCTTCAGTTGATGAGGTCCCACTTGTCTATCTTATCTCTTATGGGCACTTGGGGATTTGATCAGGAAATGGTTGCCAGTTCCAATTTCCATAAAAGTTGTCTCCTACATTTTCTAAGGTTCTTATAGCTTGTTGTTTTACGTTTAGGTCATTGATCTGTTTAGAGTTGATTTTTGTGTATGGTGATAGATAGGGATCTCGTTTTAATCTTCTGCATGTGGTCAGCCAGTTTCCCCAGCACCATTTACCAGATAGGTTCTCCGCTCCCCAGTGGTTGGTGGTGGGGTTTTTGTCGAAGATAAGTTGGCTGAGAAATTGAGGTTTTGCTTCTGGAGTCTCTATCCTGTTCCATTGGTCTGTATGCCTGTTCTTGTACCAGTACCAGGCTGTTTTGATTATTGTAGCTTTATAAGAGTGTTTAAAGTCTAGGAATGTGATACCTCCTGCTCTGCTTTTTTTAGTTCTATTGATCACGAGGTATTTTTATTCATACACTGTTGAATTGCTGGGGTTTGTGTGTGTGTGTGTGTTTGTGTGTTTGCTAGCTTAGGCTTTTTGTATTTATGCTCATAATTGATATAGGCCTATAATTCATTGCACTAGCCAGGTCTGGTGGCACACACTGGTGGTCCCAGGTACTCAAGAGGTTGAGGTGGGAGAGTTGCCTGAGACCAGGAGGCTAAGGCTGTGGTGAGCCGTGGTTGTGCCACTGCACTCCGGCCTGGGGGACAGAGCAAGACCCTGACTCAAAGCAAACAGACCGACCAACAGTGTGCCCCTTCCACACGGTTCTTCCCCTGTCCCCGCTTTACTTTTCTACAATACTAAACATTTTATCTGCTTATTGGTGGCCTTCCTCCACCAGCAGTGGCATGGAGGCTGGGACCTCTCCATTTTGCCCCCTTGCTCTATTGACATGTTGCCAAACACAGGCGCTCCGTAAATACCTGTTGGATGAGTGAGTACATTTCTAAAGAACGACCGCAAGTTAGTGTGAAAACAACAGGTAGAAAACTTACAGGAAAGGAAGCCTGCAGGGCCAAGGACGATGAGAGGCGCTGACGTATGCATTTAAAGTGCAACCACCGAAGGCCGCAAACACTGTTCTAGGAGCAGGCGGCCTGCGAGTCACAGAACGGCAGGTGGCCAGCCACACTTGGCGCAAGGGCTGTGGTGTGTCAGCCTTGGCCTGGCAAAACCCTCAAGGGCGGAGCGGCATCTAAGGGAACGGTCAGGCGGCCTTGGTGGGGTGGAAACTAGACCCCGAAATATTCACACGGCAGACAGTGGCAGAATAAAAGGCGGTCGATTCCCACACGAGGGCGGACGCCTCTCGGAAGCCCCAACGTTCAGTCGAAACAGCTCAAGAGTGGAGGCTGCCATGTGCAGGGGATTTAGGAAAAATTCAAAACATCTCCAGCGAGGAAGACGGTCCATCTGCGGAAGGGACGATGAACACCCAGGTCACGCGCGCGGTGATTCTGTGGGGGCAGGGGACGCCTGAGCTGGTGGCTCGGCACGCAGTGACTCCCAGGGCGCTGGAACACGGCGTGACCTCAGTGAAGCTCAGTGGCAACTACGGCCAAGTGCGGGAGGTGGCCGAACTTCAGAGGTGGCATCAGGCGCTCACTGCATAAGCTTTTACTGTTTGCAATGCTTCATAAGAAAAACAGATTTCCCTTACGGCAAGATCAGCTTGGATCATTTGGTGAGCACCGTATTGTTCAGGGCTGACACAGGTTTCATGCCCAGCTCTGAGTTCGTGTGAAGGAGCAAGCTGGTGCCAGACAGACCCACTTGATCATCCACAAGAACACGGGCGAGAGGAACACAGGAGTAAGAATCTCACCAATGTCACGGCACGCACTTGCAAAGAGGAAACAGAAAAGTGCCAAGGGGAGACTGAGTCAGAGGAAACAGCAGTGTAGATCTGGGTCTCTCAAAGAGCCGTATTTCTGTGGCGAACCGTGTCTGGGCTTCAGCAAACCCCATTTTTCATATTCCATTAATGCTATTAATTTGAATCCTAATGGCTTTGTCACTTGCCTTCGTTAGTTAGTTAGGGTTAGTTAGTCTGCACAGTTACTTTTGTTTTCCAGTTGTGAAGACGCTGGGGCTCACATCCAGCTGTTGCTTTGTTCATGTGAGTTACACCAGGTTTGTAAGAATATTTTCCATTTAAATGGATCTGTCCTAGCAGGATGCAGTGGCTCACACCTGCTATCCCAGCACTTTGAGAGACAGAGGCAAGAGGATCGCCTTAGTCCAGGGGTTTGAGACCAGCCTGGGCCATTTGGCGAGACCTTGTCTCTGCAATAAATCAAAAAATTAGCCAGGCATGATGGCGCGTGCCTGTGGTTCCAGCTACTTGGGAGGCTGAGGCAGAAGGATCACCTGAGCCCAACAGGTCGAGGTTGCGGTGGCCGGGAACGTGCCACTGCACTCCAGCTTGGGCAACAGAGTGAGATTCGGATTCAAATATAAATAAATAAATAAGTAAATGGATCCATTTATTTCCAAAGCTGGTATATTCAATTGGTTTTTAACTGTATTTTAGAGAGAGGGAAACACACTCAAACATCAACAGTAGGGTCGTGAGATTTGGGGGAACTTTAAAAAAAACTGTGATGCTGGCCCTTTCCAAGTTTTCTATACACATTCCTCCGTTACTCTAATAATCCGAAAATAAGCAAAACTTTGTTCAGTGCCCTCAGTTATGCCTCGCAGTTTCATGCTCAAGAGATCACTGCTTTAGTAAACCGTTTAACCTCAGAACTGAAAAGGGACGCTCTCATGGGATCCACTAGCTGTCCCGGCTTGTCGCCTGCCACTGCTACGTGAGACTGAGCTGGGAGTGTGACTGCAGGGGTGACTGTCTCACCTGAGTGTCGCAGTGCAGAAAACCCCTGCTCTTCTCCCCAGTGCCAGGCCGGTGGGCTCTGATTGTGCGCCGGACGGAGGTCAGGACCTTCCTGGTACCAGTCTGCGTCGCTGCTGCTGATTGAACAGAAAACGATGAGAAACTCTCCAGGGACTTTTTAGAACTCGAGTGGAAACGAATCCGTTTACCGAGACTTAAACCCCATTTCCCACCTTTCCTACTGTCATTTTCCCAGAAGTAAACAGTGCTTTCAGAAACAATTATGGAGAAAAAAAATTTTTTTGGAGTCAGGGTCTCACTCTGTCACCCCGGCTGGAGTGCAGTGGCAGGATCACAGTTCACCCACTGCAGCCTTGACCTTCTGGGCTCAGGCAATTCTCCTGCCTCAGCCTCCTGAGTAGCTGGGGCTGCAGGCATGCGTCATCATGCCCAGCTAATTTTTTTTAGGTTTTGCAGAGACAAGGTCTCACCACGTTGCCCAGCTGGTCTCGAGTGCCCTCGCTCAAGTGATCCTCCCGCCTCAGCCTCCCAAAGTGCTGGGGTGACAGACGAGAGCCACCACGCCAGCCCTAAGAAGAATTTACTTTGCAAAGTGAACTATTCAGTCTCTAGAACCTTGCAAGAGCAAATTACTTGACTCTGCAATTCTACAATTCTTTTAAGAGACGTGCAAGCATAGCTTTGCCCCACTGGCGGCACAAAGAAGTTCCCGATCACGCGCAGATCCTCCAGGGACCCTGAAAGACACGTGGTGAGAGCGTGGGCGTGCGTGGTCACCTGCTGACACAGTCTCCCGTGAGGGGGTCACAGCTGCCCGCACAGTCACAAGGCCGACAGCCGTAGTCTCCGAAGCCCCAGTATCCCAGCATGCACCGGTCGCAGCGGGGCCCTGCCACGCCAGGCTTGCAGGGGCAGTCGCCATTGCTGGGGTCACAGAAGGTCACGGAGCTGGAGGGGAGGGCCGCTGAGCCAGTCGGATGGCAGGAGCACGCTGCAACAGAAGGGACACGAGTGAACACCGGCGTGGATGTGGGGCACCAGGAGCCTGGGTGTGTGTCTAGGACATCATGGAGGCGGGACAGTCGAGGGAGGTGGGGGGGGACACTGCAGGGTTGAGCCAGACTCTGTGAGGGTGGTGTCCTGGGAAGGGCCTCGTCACAGCGCGGGGTTTGCCGGTGCGGCAGCTCATGTCCGGAACCCCAGCACTTTGGGAAGCTGAGGCAAGAGGATTGCCTGAGTCCAGGAGTTCGAGGCCAGCCCGGGAACTTGGTGAGACCCCGTCTGCACAAAACCAGAAAAAACTAGCTAGATACGGTGATGTGCGTGTGTCATCCCAGCTATGTGGGAGGCTGAGGCGGGAGGATCGCCAGGGCCCAGGAGGTGGGGGCTACAGGGGCTGTGCTCACGCCACTGCACTCCAGCCTGGGCGGTGGAGTGAGACCCTGTCGCAAAAAACAAAACAAAACAAAAAAAACCCCGCGGGATTCTGTCCTGTGGGATCCGCAGGCCCCAGGAACTGCAGCGCAGACTCATGACATGGTTACACCCGCCTGTGAGCAGACACGGGAGTGGCGCTGCATAGACCAGGGTGGGGGAGAGGGTGACGGGGAAACAGAAGGAGGGAGACCTAGGGCGATGGCCTCGGGTGGGGATGGGAAGGAGGCCTACAGGAAACACGAATGCTTCAAAGACGGAACAGGCAGGGTTTGGAGACCATCTGGATGGGGGGAGGCGGCGTGGAGGGACCCACAGGCACAGAGGAAGCCCGCACCAGCGTGAAACCAAAGGGCGACGTTCGCAAAGATTTAGAGTGGAGGCCGGAGGAGGCTGGGCCACAGAGCCCTGCTGGGGGCCGAGCGGGCAGGAAGGCAGAGAGGAGCTCAGGGCTGAGCCGGGGAAGTGGGAGGGGTTTGAAGGCCCTCATGAGCTCCGGGCACCTGAGGATCCAAAGCTCAGGGAGGCGCTGGGGTCCCAGACTCAGTTCTGAGACTTGTCAGGTGGCGGCTAACACCAGAGAGGCAGGAGGGCACAGGGGAGGGAGCGAGGAGATGGCCGGGGATGGAGCGCCACAGGGCAGGGCAGCAGCAGCCATGGCTGGGGAAACAGACTGCTGTGCATAAGGAGCAGGGGGCAGTCTCGACCCACGCAGCCCCAGGGTCACGGCCACCGGCTTGCGCGTGTAAAGAGTGTAAGCACCGGCACCAAATGCCCAGGGCGTGAGGCGGATGGAGCTATGGGGGTCCCCTCATTCCCACCGCGTGTCCCGCGCCTCCAGTGTGGCGCCACCCTCACGCCCCCTCTGGGAGTCTGTGTGGCTCTTCCACGCGGCACCTCTCGCCAGGCATCCTCCCCGGACACCGCGGGCTCCTCAGGGGTCCCTGGTGTCGCTAACGGTGGCTGCGCTCTTAGCAGAGGCTGCTCTGTGGGCAAAAGGCCCTGGAAGACTCGCTCCTGATTTAGCTGCTCCGAAAACGGAACGCAGAGTTCAAGGCCCTCCGCTAGGAAAGAGGCCGCCGTCCCCAGGACCCGCGGCCACGCCCTCCGCTGTGCCCTGGACCCACACACTGTTTGCTCTTGAAAAGGCCAAGGCCCCGCGGAATGCCAGAGCCTTCAGAAACTGCCCAGCTGCCAGGCCTTGGAGGGGGTGGGCCTTGGGAGCCAGTTTTGAGACAGCTCGAAGCAGAAAGGACTGGAGCTGTTAGAAGCACATGAAGTGTGAATCCAAATAGTAGATGAAACCTGAATCTTCTGCCCTTTGGGGTGGTTTTCGCTTTTCCTTCTACAATCAACTCTTTTCACTAGTGGACAGCCATAAGGATAAAAATAGCTGTAAAAATAGCTGAGAAAAACTGCAAGCAATCTAAGTCTGTGAAAGGCCGTGGTTTCCTCTTTACAATCTTTGGGAACATTTCTCTACTGATCCTTGACATGTCGTATGTATCATGTTCGATGACAGCTAGTTCCGCAGTATTCAAGGTGTATTTAATCCCACATAAAATTATGCTAGAACAAATCTAAATAAAGATTTGCTTTTGGGGGTTTTTTTGAGCCGATGTGTCACTCTGTTGCCCAGGCTGGAGTGCAGTGGCACTCGTGGCCACCGCAGCCTCAACCTGCTGGGCTCAGGCGATCCTTCCAAGCAGCTGGAACTACAGGAACTCGCCACTACGTGCAGCTGATGTTTTGATTTATTATTGTAGGACAAGGTCTTGCCAAGTTGCCCAGGCTGTTCTCGAATCCCTGGGCTCAGGGATCCTTTCTCCCTGGCTTCCCAAAGTCCTGGGATGATGGGTGAGAGCCGCCACACCCAGCGAAGATTTGCCTTTCCTTTCCTGAGTTTCAGTGTCTCCTAAGTGAGTTGTTGTGAACAGGAGAATGGGGAACGGCCTCTGCTTACAGCTTGAAAGAATGCCAGTGTGATGATGTCTGAGCACATTTCCTGCCTGTCTTCTCTAAGCTTCTAAATGCATAATGCCAATGAACACAGGCACCCAGCTCCTCCTTTATGGTGCTTGGCTGTGTGGTTGCTGCTCAGACCCTCTCTGATTTCTGCAGCATCCCTCTGCTGATTGGTCATCACTGGGCCAGTTGCTGTCTATTCCTGAGTATAGCTGACAGTTCTGGGGCGGTCAAAAAGTAACTTTGTTTTCTTGGTTTGCTTGGTTAAAACGGAAGAAGGCACCTTTGCATACACAGACACATTTTTTTATGGGAAAACTCCTGGACATCATCGCAAACCCTGTGTTTTGCTGTGCAGGATTGGGTTTTATCATCCACCATTATCTTTTTTTTTTTGTGAAGGAAATCCCACCTGCTTGGCCTCCTGTATTCCCAGGCCACTCAGTTGCCCTCAACCTGGACACCCAGCCAGGAGCTGAGGTCGCTCGTGCCCCTTTTCTGTTGGAGGTACAAGCCCCTTGACTGTGTCTGTCCTTGGGCTCACCTGGGAGAGACTATGATTTGCCCTGCCGTAATGCATTGTGCTGCCCTTTCCTTCCAGTAGCTTTCAGTTACACATTTTCCTGGGTGATTTATTTGGAGTCTGTTCCACGGAGACAGAGGTGTTTTGTTGTGTAGACAGTGACTAGATGGCCTGCCGCATGGGAGACACGGAGGAAATCCAGGGTGCATTTTTTTGAATGGGCGAGTTGTGTTCCTTAGTGAACACTTCTTGATAATTGGGGGCCTTTTGCCTCCCATCATCTCGTTCTGACTTTTCACTTCTCTGCTGTCTCTGTATTTTAATTTTTTTTTTCTAGAGACAGAGTCTTGCTATATTCCCTACGCCGGTCTCCAATTCCTGGGCTCAAGCAGGCCTCCCAGCTCGGCCTCCAAAAGCACTGGGCTGGCATGTGCAAGCCAAGCTTGCTGTCTCCCCGGGATGCCATGAAGGCCTAGAAGGTAGGAGCCACGACTTGTACGTCTGCATCCCCAGACCTGGGTGCACGCCGGACCCATTTTGGCGACTCGCTCAGTCTTGGCTGAATGAATACATGAACGAACGTGGCTCCGAAGAAGCAACCGCGAACGTGCCACGGTCTTACGTTGTGCCAGCCCCTAAGACGCCCACACCACGCCCCGTCCTTCCCGCCTCCCAGCCCCCGGGACAGCAACACTAAGATCCTGGAAACAGAAAAGAACCCACAAAGCTGCGGCAACTCAAGCGTGAAGCGAGCAGCCCGCCGAGTCTCCCCAGGACAAGACAGTTGCCTACAGTCATCTTTGCTCAGCCCAGCCGGACTCTTTTTTGCACAGAGCTTCTTTCTTCCGACTCAACACGGAGCATCTCCCCCAGAAATGCCTCTTGCTGGCAGCACTCTTTGCTTGCTTGATCAGCGTGAAATCTCTTTTCTTCCCTTTCGCCCAGTTATATCTAATTTCAACCCTTTGTTCTAGGGAAGTAAATGGTTTTTGGCAACACCTCCTCCCCCCCAGACCTTCTGAGGATCAACAGAGGGTTGCTGCCTTCTGCCTGAGAAGTTGCCTGGGTAGCCCGAGGATGTCCACCCTCTTCCACATGTATTCACGAGGGCCTCCCTTTTCTTCATGGTTTCTCCAGGACATTCAAATCCCTCCATCCCTCCTGGACTAAGACTCCTTAGGTGAAGCAGCTCTTCAGATTCAAATGTCACGTGGCTGTTTATCAGACAGCAGGGCCTCACTCAAGACCAAAGGCCATATATATACATATATAAGTACATACATATATATGTGTGTGTGTGTGTACCCCCCAGGTCCTTTAAAAATTATCCGTGGCTCTAAAACATATGACTCATTATTTTGCCTTTGTTGACTCATTTTTTTCATCAGCTAGGTCACACTGTATAGATAGATAGGGTTTGCTGGGTCTTTGTTGGTCATTGGATCAAGGTCTCTGGAGTCAGACAAGCCTGGGTTCAAGTCCCAGCCTTGCTGTGCAAACTTGAGCAAACTGTAGACAGTTGCCCTCTATATCTGAGGGTCCAGCATCCATGGATCACATTTTTGATCCACGAAAATAAACTGTAGAACAAAAAGAGTTGGGGAGAAAAGAAAACCAGCGGAGGATAAGAACAACAATAAGAATAATGCAGCTAAATAACCAACACAGTATAGTAGCTGTTCACACAGCGCTTACATGGTATTAGGCGTTACTAGCGATCGATAGCAGATTTGTGGCACACGAGAGGAGGCGTGTAGGTGGCGGCAAATGCCGCGCCATTTTTCGTCAGGGGCTTGAGCTGTGGATTTTGGCGTCTGGGGGTCCTGGAACCAACAGAGACCCCTGTGGCCAAGGTTAGTCCCAGTGTCTTCATTTGCCACATAGCAAAGACGCCACCAAACACGTACTGATTGCTCAGTGGGATGGCTTCTGCATGCGGCCCGTTCTGGTTGCCGGTCACAGCGGCCATCCGACAGATGCTAGTTCTCTTCTTATGTCCCATCGAATGTCTTTCAGACTTTCTGAAGGTTTTGATAAGGGGGGACTCCCCCAAACCAGAATTCCCTTTT